TTTTAGGAAATACATATACCTGGCTTTTGATTCACCAGCCTGTTTCACCAGACCTGTGATAGGTGCAGCATGGCTTTTTTTTCATATTTTGGGGGTTTTGCTGTTGTTGTTTTGTTGAAGCATAATAGTACCTGATTTCCTCATGGGAGTAATGATGATACTTCATATAAAGCATTTGGAATTTGGCCAAAGAAAGCCTGAGAACAGAAATTGTTATTGGAGGCAATGGGAGCATAAATAAGTTCTACTGATGTAGTTGAAATGCATGCATTGATGCATATATAGCAACAAACATCATCCTGCATAATCTAAGCATATACTTTTTTTTCTGCGATACCAGGGATTGAACACAGAGCTTTGTGCATGCTAGACAAGTATTCTGCCAATGAGTTACATCCTCAGCCTCATACTTTTTGTTACCCATATGTAGAATTAAAAAAAGTCTTTTACTTCTCTTGGTTTACGGAGATTACTGCCCATTGACTATTGCTTTTAAGAGTGGGAAAGATTGCTGGGCAGTGGTGGTGCATGCCTTTAATTCCATCACTCAGTGGCAGAGGCAGAGGCAGAGGGATTGTTGAATTTGAGGCCAGCCCTGGTCTACAAAGTGAGTTTCAGGACAGCCAGGTATACACAGAGAAACCCTGTCTCAAAACAAAAAAAGTAGATAGGTGAATATTAAGATTATCATGTGTGCCTGGTGCATTATAGGCAGTTAGACAGTAAAGGTAAATGTTTCTATTCTTTTGGGAGTGCTGTTACTAGAATTTTATTTAGAATACTGTCTTCCATAGGTGCTGTGAAGCTGATGTCTTTTGGGTCACAACCTGACCATTTAAAGAGCTTATGTTGTCTGGCAGTGGTAGCACATGCCTTTAATCCCCACACTTGAGAGGCAGAGGCAGGCAGATCTCTGTGCGTTCAAGGCCAGCCTGGTCTACAAAGCTAGTTCCGGGACAGCCAAGGCTATAACAGAGAAACCCTGTCTCAAACAAACAAACAAACAAAAAAGAGTGTCTGTCATCAAACCTGATGCCATTTGATGGGTAGTTGGTAAGTTATGAAAATGTCTAGGTCTGAAGTGGGTGGTCCAGGAGGCCACACACTGCAGAAGGAGGCAGGGCAGGGAGAGCAGAATGGGAAACCCACAGAAAGAGAGGGCAAACTGCTTGGGTGTTGTGGAATGATATGACTTCTAATAAGAGGAGGGCGATGTGCCACTCATCTGAAAGTGAGGTGTGCAGAACTGAGCATCTTTTACTTCTCTTGGTTTATGGAGATTACTGCCCAATCATGCTCAGCTAAAATAATGACACAGACAGCACTCTTTTTTTTTTTTCTGGAACTGCCATTGGGTTGGGTACTACATTACTCACATGGTTTACTCTTCAGTGGTTAGAGCAGGATGGGTGAAAGGAAGGGAATTTGTATACTACCTTTTAGTAGCCTTCTTCCCTCATGCTTTGGTGGCAATCTTGCTTTCAGTAATGCTCACTGTAGGGAAACTGAAAGGATGGGCAGAACCTGGAGCCCATTCTGTGAGCATTCCAGCAGTGCCACATTTCCAAACATTAGCTGGCTGTACAGCCTTTGGTTCTTTTCACACATCTTCCTGCATCCTTTAAACCAGCTCTGCATTATGTATAATACCCAAGGAAGCATAAATCTCACATGAATAATTGTTATACAATATTGTTTTTACAAAGGGCAAGGGGAAATATCTATTTGTGTTCAGAATGGATGAATTATAGTCTGAATTTTTTGATTCAAGGTTCGTTGAGTCTCAGATTCAGAACTAGTGAATACAGAGGGCTGACTATCTGTAATATTGATCTGACTTCTCTTTAATTTCCAAAAAATCATGTTGAATTTATGTCTATCAGTAATTATCTTTTAGACTTATACAACAGTATTAGTTCTTCAAATCTCTGTGGTTCAAAAACGTCAAGAGTTGTAAGGCAAAATTCTGTTCTCTAAAATCCCAAGTTGATTGCATGTGGTGTTATTATTTGTTGTCTTTCTGTCTACAGTCTCTGAAAATGACTTCCCTTGTGTTGATAATGATATTGTCAAATATGATGGCCAATTGAAGAAAAGGGGAAGAAAGAAAGGAAAATAATCTTGGCTACTAACCACTGGGAGCGATGAAGTGTGAGAACCTATGCTAAGTGGGTCACAGGCATTTAATGAAACATGAACTCAAATCCAGGACCCACAGGTCTACTAGTCCTGGTTAACACATGGGAAGTTCAGACCCAGAGAGTGAATTAATTGGCTTAAGGTCATAGATATTAAGTGGTGTAGACAGTTTCCAAGACTGACTCTCTGACCTGAGAATGGCATATTCAGACATTGCAATTTATGTTTTTCAGCATTCTGGAATCTGGGGCTAAAGTAAAGGATCATGAGACAACTTGGCATAATTAAATATTATAGAACGTAAACCAGATGTGCAGAGAAAAACAGCTTCAAGTTGCACATTTGCCTGTTTCTGTGGTGTAAATATTCATCTCATGGTTGATTTTAATCCAAGGATGGTTTAGCACTGAGTAAAATTCCTGAACATTTGAAAATGGTCTCTCTTGCCAACTGACATAAACATCCCAGAGGCTTTAAGCCTCTAGTAGGAGGAAGTCAGGTAGGTATATGGGACTTGAGTCTTTTACTCTATAGCTTCTTTGCTACATGAGCCAAGCCAAAAGAATCACTTACCATCCCTATGTCCTTGCCAAAGAGCCTCAGAACTTAGGAAGAAATATGTGGTGTGGATTAGTCAATTTGGGAAGTGTAGTATTTCTTCTTAATGTCCAAATTGGGCATCTGCTAATAACTTGAACAAGGTCATTTTAGAAAGATGCATTCACTTTTCAATGTAATAAAGTTCAATACATATAGTCTTCTCAAAAGATTTATTATTTTTTTAAAAAAATTATGTGTATGTGTGTGTGTGTGTGTGTACATGTGTGTAGGACAGAAAAAGTGTCTGACCTCCATGATGCAGTCATGCAGTCATAGGTGGTTGTGAGCCAGATGATGTGAGCCGTCCCTCCAGCCTCAAATATGGCATCTATCTCTCTTTCTGCTCTGTATCATTTTTATTTGTTTTGAAACAGGGTTTCTCTCCTGACTACCCTGGAACTCACTCTGTAGACCAGGCTGACCATGAACTTAGAGACCTACTTGCCTCTGCCTCTCAAGTGCTGGGGTTAAAGTCATGTGCCACCCCTGTCTGGCTCTCAGTATATGCACATTCACACTTACATACACAAATATAAAACTGGAAAAAACAACAAGGATGACAAAACATCAACTTTGAATATGCAGTAGAAGTAATTATAGGGAAAGTTTGTAAAAATACCAATGCTTGTGTCATTATGAGGTAGACAGGGCCTAAGGGGGGAAAAATCACAAAGTAGGGTAGGAGACCCTCAAGGACGGGAAGAGCCATTAGGGTGACAACTGCCACAAGGACCCACACTGACCACCACATCCCTGACTTTTGCTTCAGGTACAGTCTTCTCTACAGTCAGCAGCAAGACCTCAAGCACAAACCCAGGGTTCAGGTCATGTAAGACCAGCTGAGCTAGCAAGGCACAGCTAAGAGACCAGACAGTTCTAGTAATGCGAGCTAAAAAGGACAGCCTAGTCTAGTTTTGACTCTCCAGGCAGCACTTCTCAGCATGTGTCCAGTAAACCACGAAAGTGGGATCAGTCCCTTATCCAGATGCCATTTTACACTGTAATTACATGGAAGGTGTTTGTTCAACTAGTTTTGACTCCTCTGTCCATTGTCTGGAAACATTTTCTTTTAAGCGAGATTCATGTCTCAAGAAGCAAACAGAAAACTGAAATTCTAAGTGAGAAGTGGAGAAAAAAAAATCACCAAACCCCCTTGCAAAATGAAGAACAGGCCCTTGTCCTTGGGGCAATCACTGGTATGCTCTTCCCATAATAGGTATATGCCATTCTGCCAACATTCCAGTGCCTGACTTGGGAGTATCTGCTCATGGGTTATTCCATAGAGCAACAGCCCATCCAGAGTGCTTTTAAATGATAAGGACAGGAAATCTCTTTAGAGCCTATGCCCTTAGAGGATGATGCTATGCAAATTCTGCTATTGTTATTCTTTTAGCTCAAATTTATAATTGGCTTTCTGTTAAACATTGCAGCAAGTTAAATTAATTCAGTATGATTACAGTCGTTAAACAAATGTCTGGTAATGACTGCCTTCTTTTTTAGCAGTTCCTCAAACCACTGGGGTAATACCCATATAAAGCTTTTTGCCTCATTGTCGCATTAATTGAGACGAACACCCAAGTCCCACAGCAGAAGCATGCAACCTACTTTAGAGCGATGACCATGATTTAGGGTTTCTGCTGAACTAATTTACCTTGCAGTTTTCTCGATAGCAAGTTGTACTAGTACAATTTACAATTTCATTACAACATACACATAGTTTAAGACAATTTCTACCTGAATTAAGGAGAGGAGGAGAGGAAGGAGAGGGGAGAGGGGAGAAGGGGAGAGGAGGAGGGGGGGAGGAAGAGAGCTTTTAAAACCCAAACACGAGCACGAATTCGTCCATAGACATTCTAAAGAATCCAAGTGACTTGAGCAGTGCTGGCTTTATCCCATTTCTGCATGCAACAGTCACTTCGAGAATGACCTGTCAGCTACACAAGCAGGATGGAAACGATTCATTCAGTCTTGAGTCAAAACTGCCGCGGCGAGAAAAACAGTATCCAGGAAATGACTGCCAGGTGGATCGAGGCAGCCTGCAGTCCTGCAGCCACTGTTGATGTCCAGGGTCATTTGCCTGGTGCCACCCTAGACACTGCCCTGCTTCTGTGCAGGACACTGGACGATAACACCCTACAGGTCAGCTGACTGCTGTGTCACACTGCATTCCTGCAGATGCCAGCTCCTGCTCCCACAGATCGCCAGTCGAGATGCGGCAAAGCAGAGGCAGACAGCTAGGCACAAAGCAACCGAGTTTTAAACTTTGATTTTCCAGCTGCTGCCTAGCGTCTCCCACACGAAGAACATTACCTTTGTGTGGCCAGGAGCCGAGATGCAGTCTGAATGTGCACGGCGGCTTCTGACGTGGCAGCATGAATTCTCAGCTGGGCAGGTACTGCTCTGAGCTTGCTAACCAAATTGTCTACGATGGAGCCCGGCTGCTTTCCCACCTCATATTTTGGGGGGTGCGGGGTACTTCTTGTGCCATGCTGCTGTACCTGCAGGAGACAATGCTTGGCATGATTTGTCTGACTCAGGCCTGGGCAACTCACTGCATTGGCACTCTGGGACTCCCCAGCTCCCATTTAAGGCTGGTCACCCGACTGGCTTAACCCCCTACTCCTCAGTTAGATCATGCGTTAAAGGAGAAACCAGACTCATTGGCCTAACTCGGTCCCAGTCCTTTCTGGATGCAGGACTGCTGTCGCCTAGCAGGGACACAACCAGCCATCGAGTGGAGAATCTGTGTGCAGGTGGAGCCTGGAAGAGTGACAGTCTAATTTCCTTCATCTAATGACTTCTTATTTTCCTAACTAATTGTGCTTGCTAAGCACACAGAGGTCTGGATTAGTCTTTCTGCCTTGCTGTCCTCTTCAAGTTGGGCTGCAAATCAGGCTGCCAGGAAGCCTGCATTAGCCTTGCTCTCTCTTGCATGGTGCTATGCTAGCTGGTAGGATGGGTCACTCTGACAACAAAGGAGGGTGCTTGACTTCTCTTGTGATGCTTAGAGGAACATAATTCTTTGAAGTGATCTCTCTCTCTCTCTCTCTCTCTCTCTCTCTCTCTCTCTCTCTCTCTCGTGTGTGTGTGTGTGTGTGTGTGTGTGTGTGTGTGTGTGTGTGTAAAATTCACCAAACTAAAGAGCCTGAGAGAGATCATCATGGATGCGGCTTTTAACAATTTGGGGGGAAAAAGAAAAAGAAAATGACAGCCTGTGGAGACAGCGATTTGAGGAAGCAGCACATTGAGGTTATTGCCAATTTGAAATACTGGGTTTGTGAATCCAAGCCCTAAGGGAGTAGCCGGGTAACTGAGAAAGAGATCGCAGATAAAGAAATAAAAATGACAGGCGTAATGGAGGCTCTGCGACGGGACTGTCAGAGCGTCAGTTCATGGATGGCAATCTCGCCAGGCGGAGATTGAATAATTCATAGACGGAAACTACCCTGCCTTCACCTTCCCATTTAAACCAGGCACGAGCTGAATCTCTAATAAATTTTCAAGATAAAGTAAAATGCCAATTTGAATCTGAAGAGCTTTTAAAAGCAGATGTCGCCTGCATCCCCGAATCTTTCGGTATCTTTTCACAATTATGCTCTGAGGAGCGCACTTCATCAGGAAGCACCATTACCAGGGAAAATGACTGTGATTACAATAGCAACAATGGGATGCCATCGAGTGATCTCTAATTTACCTAATTTGCTAAGACTGACTGGCTTAAATACCCATTGTGTGTTGCCATGCCCCGTCCAAGGATCTATCTCAAGACAGAACAAAAGTGGCATGGTGTGTGTGCTACCTTGATTCACACAGAGTCTAGGGTTCAGCAGTCTCCTAAGTTACAATGTCTCTGTCATCTGCTTTTCATTTTTGTCAGGGTTTTGCCTTTTTTTTTTCTTCAGTGCTTAGCCCTAAATGCCTTTTGAGGGGGAAAATGGCAAACCTATCTTTGCTACAGAACAGTCTGAGTTGTTAATTTATACATTAAAAAAAATTTAAACTATACAAGCATGTGTCTGTTTAAGGGGAGGAGTGATTCAGTGCTGGAAGAAAGGTTTAACAAGCCAACTGCGATGGTGTGTGTGTGTGCGTGTGTGTGTGTGTGTGTGTGTGTGTGTGTGTGTGTGTGTGTTTCCTCCATATGAAATTCTTTCCCAGGATTTGCGATCCCTGTGGTATTTTAAGAACCTCTCCAACTGCAAATCTCAGGTAGCAGAGCCAGAAATCACTCCCTGTAGCTCTGTCACAAAGACTGTGTGCCTCGTTCCACGATGCGTCAAGGCTTTTAGGCTGCGTGGCTGTGTTTGTGCCTGCTCAGGGTGCAGAAGTCCGTGCTAGGGAGAACTTTTTGTCTGGCAGACTGCACCACTCATCTCAAGGTGAATGTGCCATTCTGAGGAGGTGGCACGGACTATCCATCCTTCCTGGGGAACAGAGCGGAATCATTTAGCAGACATGGGGGCTTCTGGAATTGTCCTTCTAATATCCTGGAGACAGCACTTGGTTCATGCCAAACAGCAATGCCTTTGCGTTTGAATATTTCAGGGAGGGACCAGAGGTATGTATGGCAGCCGTTTGAGAAGAAGGTCCCAAATCCCTCTCTCAAAACCTTGGGATTTTGCTTGAGACTCAGCCTTGATGTGTTCCTTTTTAATCATTCACCTGATTTACCCCCTCCTGTATGTTTCCCCTGCCTTCCCCTACCTTGTCATAAGGTAAGTTGTGTTTCTAGTCATTTATATAGTAAGTGTGGATGTTCCTTATCATCTCATGTTAGTGGGAACATGCTTCTGATCATGTCTCACTATGCTGGGGCAAACTCAGAACTTCACATTTCTGTTTTCTGAGCACAAGTTAAAATGTGGCATTTTTGAAGCGTGGCTTAAATATTGTTTTGTTTTTCTGGCTGAGGACATCCAAGGTTTTAATAGCATTTAAAGGAAATGGGGGAAACAGTTTTATGCAGTGAGCACTTGGCTTAAGAGCAGTTAGCAGTCTGATGGCCACTTCTGTTACCACATTGCTTTCTGGGGTGGCCTGGTTTTCTGACATTGGCCCCCCTTGCTACTGCTCCAGAAAGAGGGCTCTACTACGAATGACACCAGAAGAAGTGGAAGTCCACACTGCACCAATGCCAGCATTTCCTTCCTTTTCTGTAGTTAAAGCACAGTGCTGCTTATCAGCAAAGGTTTAACTTCTGGCACTTTCCATGTTTTTAATAGCCAGAGTTTGAGCAGGGTAATCACTGAGTGAGCCAATTGGTTTTTCTCTCCAATATTTGAGTAATACAAATACCTTCAAATTATCAAAGAGTGAATGGAAATCATGTTTTGTTATTTGGGGAGACTCATCACAATCTAATTTTAGGTGTTGGGTAAGAATAGCAAGTTAGGAGCTTATTTTTTTTAACGATGAAATGATTTAGATTATCATAGTTTTGGAAGATGAGGGTGTGTTTGGTTTCTTTTGGCTGTGGGTACAAGAATATTAGTGTTTGTATATAATATCTGTAAGACTCCTTACAGAGTGCCGGGGCTTGCCAACAATGGCACTTCCCTTTGCTTTGCCTGTCAGAATGTAGGGCTGCAGAGGCACTTAAAGATTTTAGACACTACTATTACTTTGAAATCACCTTTTTCCCCCACAAACTTACTGAAATGATTAAGTATAGTGACCATTTAAGAAAAGACATAAGTTCCTCAGGTAATTTTTAATCCACTATTGACAATTTTTCATTATCATAGATACTCCTCATTTGCAATGTTCTAGATATAGATGAATCAGCAAGAGAGATGATGAGGGCAACTTTATAGCCACCAACAACTGAAAACAAGGCGTCACTGTGAAAATATACAAGCATGGATTAATTTAGGTGAACCCTATGACAAGGAATGGCTCCACTTTACATTTCAGTTTTTGTTCAGATTTTTAGAAACCTACTATGGTGGTTGTTTATATTTTTATGAGCATAAAACAGGTGCAATGATGCCTTGCCCGCATGCTCCTAACTTCCCAATGCTCTGGAGAGTAAACAACAGAAAGAATGAGTGAAGGTTAAATCAATTCCTCAGAAGCCCATTTATAAAACTCACAAAACATAAATGACTCGCACTTTAAGACAGAACGTATAAATTTTGACACTGGGTAATTAGTTATGTTGGACATCTTTTCATGGGTGTATTTTACATTCTATCTCATTATTAAAGTCCAGCTTGGAGCAAAAACTCAAATTGAAGTAAACTGAAATCCCTCACTGAGAATATATTAACCTTCGCTGAACATCTGTGAGCTACTTAGCGATGCTATGGTGGATGAATTTCACAGATAATCAAATTGGATATTCATCATCAAGCCTCATGGCTGGGTTTCACTAATTGAATTATTTTATAAGAATGACAAAACAATGTATTTCCCTGGTTTTTAAGTGGGTGGTAGTGAAAAATGACTTTACCAAATACCCATTTTTGTGTGGTCTTAATCTGGTAGCGAGAAAAAGGCAGGCAGAAACAAGAAACAGGTGCAGACAACCCTTCTATCATCTGGTGAATTATTTTAGACAATGGTAAGGTCAAAAGAGGTTGGTATCTTAAGGCAAAAGAAAAATTAAATTATTTGAAGTCATGTGTGTCTGTATGTGGGTATGATCATGTGAGTGCAGGTATCCTCAGAGGTCAAAGAGTGCATCGGATTCCAGAACTGGATGGAGTTATAGACAGTTATGCGGTCCCCACTTTGTGCTGGAAGCTGCATGTGCATCCTCTGCAGCAGAAGTACATGCTCTTACCTGCTAACTGAACTATCTCTTCAGGCCCAAGGTTGGTATCTTGTGTCTGTAGAGTGATTTTTCTTTTTAAGTAACTTGCTTTCTATACTAAGATTTTTTTCAGGTATTGTATCATTAGAAACTTCAAACATACAGAAGAACACGAGACTGTGAACAGTCATATACACACCAACCACCCTGACTGTATAAGTATACTCTCTTGTTTTCTGCTTGCATTTATGTGCATATCCACCCCCTACTCACCCATCAATCTCTCTACTTTTGTATGCATTTCAAAGTGAGTTACAGACATCAACATACTCCATCCCTGAGGATGTGCCTGCTACATTCAAAGTTTCCAGTGCTTTCCTTTAAGCAAAGTTTGAACAGGACATAGAGGTTTTTGCTTGTTTTTTGTTTTTTTTTTTTTTTTGTTGGTTGGTTTGTTTTTTAAAGAACGCACACTTCTGTTTTCTTGTGGCACAAAGTGTCCCTAGTATATATAAAGAACGCCTGGTGCAATCTTCAGGAGCCTGCATTTTGACATTGGAGGGCAAAAATCCCGCGGTTTCTGATAAAGGGAAACGAGTTACAGTAGCAGGATGTGTGTGGACCTTTCTCCAGCCTCAGCTTCCATTCCCAGGCCAGGCTTCATCCACCCAAGGATGACTGGCAATCGCAGGGAACACTGGCAATGCACCACCCTCGCACTCCTGTACTGGGGAGGAAGAGGTGTAAGGTACACATCCGCAGTTCTCAGGGCTGTTCTTGCTCCGGACCAGAGATGCCCCCTTTCCCACTGGTCCATGGGAAGGAACCCATGACTCCTGGAACCATCAACAGCTGTCCTGCTTCAGCTCTTTTGTTGCTTCCCTTCCTCTCTACTTTCTTCACATCTGCCCATTCTGCCTTCTCAGAACTCCTGTTTCCTCTCCAGATACAGGAGAACAAACGTACCCATTTCCCCCCAAGCCATTCTGTTTTATGAATGTCACAGAAATGGTTACAGGAGACAAAAATGACAGATTAAAGCATCACCTGACTTCGAAAAGGGATTAATTAGTTTTTCTTCATTTAATTAAAACATAAATGATTGAGGATTGTCCTCTCAAGACCTCATTACTCATTCGTGTATTCACTCCTCTGTGTCCTGAAGTGGCGCCACACTCCTCAGAAACCTGTGTTAGTGTAGTCCCGAAAGGGAGGCTTTTCCTGAGCTTCCCCCATCTGCCGAGTTTCCTAGGTGCCAGCTTCTGCGGCTAGCTATGGTCCAAAGCATTTCTATTCAGGAGCAACACAGTCACATGGTCCTGTCCCTTGCCTCTTAGGGATAAGAAGGCTCCCAAAGCCTCCCATTCCAAGTTTGTCACAACACGAGCATGTCGCTGGCTTTTGGGCATGTCCCTCAGGCCAGTGCTGTTCCTTGGGCTCAGTATGCCCTAAGATTCTTTAGATAACTAACTTGGGTCTATGATTGCCTGAACACTGCCTTCTCCCCTTGTTCTTTTGAAGTGTTCATTTTCCTGTTCCTCTGAAGTGTTGTTTGGATATGACATGCTGAGAAGGATCTTAGACTCTGCAGCCACTCAAGCATAGATTACCATCCCAGGTCTGCCACTTGCTCCCGCCAAGTTCAATTTGACCTCTGTTAAACCCTGCTATGATTACTGACATTTAAGTGAGTTTCTAATTAACAGTCAGCATATATTTGTGCCAGTCTCATATCCACAGAAGGTACTGACACCCAAGAACTCAGTTGGGTCACCTGATAGACCCCAGAGACTGCTCTTTCTCTCCCAATGTTGAGATTTGCTTATCCTAGTGAACTTCCCACTAATTCTTTCTTTTTTCTAAGGTCTTAAATGACGAGCTTGGTGGGGAGCCCAGTAAATGATTAAGTTCTTCTAGGTAAGTGTCCCAAATCCAAATGTGTGCATGTGCATTGCAAGCCAGAGGTCAACTTCTGATGTCACTCCTTGGGTGCTCTCTGTCTTTTCTTGTTTTTGTCTTTTGAGACAAGGCCTCTCACTGGGCTTGAAGCTGGCCAGTTGGCTTAGGTTGGCGGGCCAGTGAGTCCCAGAGATCTGCTTGTCTCTGCCTCCTAAGTTCTGGGATTTGTCCATCTCTTCCCTTCCCTGCCCTGTCTTTCCTTTCTCTTCCATTCCTTTCTTTTCCCATCCCTTTCTTTTCTTTATTTACCTCCTACCTTCCCTTCTCACTAACGCTGGCTGTCTCTGTTTCTCTTCCAGGTATTGAACCTATAGCCTACCTACTAGGCAAGTGTTTTAAAACCACTGAGCAGCGCCTGGCGTTGGTGGCGCACGCCTTTAATCCCAGCACTTGGGAGGCAGAGGCAGGCGGATCTCTGTGAGTTCGAGGCCAGCCTGGTCTACAGAGTGAGTTCCAGGACAGCCTCCAAAATGATACAGAGAAACCCTGTCTTGAAAAACAAAAAAAAACAAAAAAAAAAACAAAAAAAAAAACAAGCCACTGAGCAGCCTAGGCTTTTCATCCTAGGAAATGTAGCAGATGGCTGAAGTTATAACAGGAAACACATCCCTAGACCTAGCTAGGCCCATAGTTCACAGGGACATAGCTTGCCCTATTGTGGCTCTTGTAAAGACAGTGAGTGAGCAGAAGAGGCATATGTGTCTACTTGGAGGCTGAGTGTTCTGTGCTGGAGTCCTATGTTGCTTGCATGGCTTCATCCCGAGGACCGTCCTCTCAAGGGGTAATCTATACATGTGCTCTTGATCCTGACAGCTGGATGAGGAAGGACTCTAGGTGGGCTGAGTTTCCACATATGTGGGGAAGGATGTCCTGATGTGTGAGAGAGCCAGGAGTGTGCAGGGGTGGGGTGGGGATGAGGCTGGAGGTTATGCACCACACTGCTGAACATTCTGGTATGGAATGCCACATGTGAGGGAGAATCGTAATATGATTCATATCTAAAATAAGGTATATTTGTGAGAGTAAAATTGTGTTATTAGCATGCTGACTTACTGTGTGCTTTCTGCTACATAGTACAAAAGACATGGTGTGGTAGCCGCCATCTGTACTCTTGTCAATCTGGGTCTTACAAACACTGCACCAGAGCTGGAGGAAGCATTTAGAAGTTCCCCTAGAAATGAGTTAGTATGTAGCTGCCTTTGTGGTAATTAAATTTTTATTATTAAAACACAGGAAAGAAAAAAATCTAGAAAACCCATCTGATAGCTGAGGTTTACAAGTCTATGTAGTTTTTGAAAGTTATAAAATAGTAAAATATAAATGTTCCATGTTTTATTCACGTTTGCACTAATTAGTTAAAGTAGCTATTGCCCTCTTTCTGTTGATGAATCAAAAAGGCAGACTGGTACACTTGCTGCTGTGCCCAGGCCAGCAGCCTGATGAACTGGAAAGACAGTGGTTGTCATCACCACACTGGAAAGGAAGCTCAGGAACCAGCGTTTGGTGTTCTAATGACACAATCTCTGTTACCCTCTACTGAACAGTGCTTAGCATGAAACAGACGAGCTTGGGAGACGAAGAGATAAGGAATACTCAGTGGAAGGACAGTCATCCGCGCAAAAAACTACAACTTAGAGTAACTGGATTTTCAAAAGAAAATTCAAGGGATAAAAAGAGAAAAAGATTTAGGAAATACAGGGAAGGGATGTGCCTAAGACTATGAAGGCATTTCACATCCACGAGCTTATGCCCGTGTGCTGCTAATGTAGGGTGACATAAGTACCATAAGGCTGATGTAACAGACTTGGAGCCAGACAACCGGGATCTGAGTTCTGACTGTCTTGGTTCTTGTCTTTACGACCGCCTGTGGTTTGGATGTGGTTTGCCATATTTAGGAACACAGTGGAAAGTTGGTGTTGGGAGAAATTAATGTCTTTCTTGTGAGACTAGACTAGTGTTCACAGGAATGGTTGGGTGGGTGGTGACAAAGCCAAGTGGCAGCTGTGCCTCTGCTGCCTCCTCCATATACATTGGGAGATCCACGCCTGGAGTCAGGTACAGGCTAGCACTCTGCTCTTGGACTTCCAGAACTGCGGATCAACTACAGTGTTTCTTTATACATTACTCAACTCAGGTAGTCTGATACGGCAATAGGAAAACCTAACCTGAGTGAGGATGGAACCCTCTTTGCTTCTCTGTTCCTTATAGAACGCCCATATCATCGTCTTCCTCACAGTAAAGAAATAAGTTAATATTTGTGAAACAAAAGAGAGTGCCTGGCAGGTGGTGGGTTTAAATCACAAAACTAAAAGGTGTAGAAACTAAAGTCCAGAGAGGTTAGCAACTTGTTCCCAAACACACAGCAAATTAGTAAAATATCTGGGGTATGATAGAGGTACCGAAACTTTAGGCCTGTTTCAGAAAATTGCATGTTGTCTGAGAGCTGATTTTGGTCAAAACACAGGTTTGTATAATGTGTTTCTTCTCTAAAAGAAAAACAAAAGAAATCTAAGAAACCCCACAGTGCTGTATCCTGGTAAACACTGACTTCGTTTTTTCATTCTACCTTCTGTACTCTGTATGTTTTCTCCCTATGTTGTGATTTTTATAGGCTTATCAAGTTCATTATTTAAGATTTATTTTCATTTTAATTATGCCTGTGTTCTGTGAGTTTATGAGTGTGAGTGCTAATGCCTGAGGAGACTTCACGTCTCCCTGGAGCAGGAGTTATATAAGGCTGTGAGCTACCCAATGTAGGTTCTCAGAGCTGCTCTTAATCAATGATCCAGTCCTCAAGTTCATTTGTAGATTTCCACACTGTAAGTCTGTGGAGACAGGCCACTGTCAATACTTTCCTTATGTGTTAGCTGTTCTGGAGAGAGAGCAAGTGATATGTACTTACACATATGCACTCACAAATACATGCTCCCACATGTTTTCACATATGCACACATGTACACATGCACCTATGTATGTGCACACACATACAAACATCCTTGTAGTGGGCCAAGGGACAGCATGATAAAATAACAGAAGGGTAAGAATAAATGGGGAAAATGTACAGTAACATAAGAAGGAAAGGAACCCCGACAGTGCCCCTGCTTATAAAACAAGCATGCAGTCTATTATTAATAGACAGATATTACCTTAGCGAGCCGGTGTTCGCAGTTACGGGGCTACAACACTTCACAATGATCCGAAGGGCTAAGGATGTAAATGAAGACAAAGACAGCAGCTCATTCTTACAAGGAGAATGGCGTTTATTTTAACAAGAGTGGAGCCTTGTATACCAGTGGCAGGCATGGTGGAAAACCACCAAGGTCAGAAGCCTATGTTCCCAGGACCCTCCGGCAAATGATGGGTCAAAAACAGGAATTAGCATTTAGACAATAAGGATGGACAGAAAACAGGAACTTGCATGTAGGCCTTACTGGAAGGAGGGGACAGAGGTGTCTTGCTAGAAGCTCCTAGTCACAAGCTGGTCAACAGACACCCATGGGGGGAGGATACAACATATTACATTGCACATTCTTGCCTTGTAAATGACCTAAACATTGGCATATCAAGAATATGTGTTATGGATGTTCCTCTGTCATAGAATGCTTACCTGGCATGCAAAGACCTTGGGTTCAATCCTTAGCACTGCCAATAAAAACAATAACAACAACAACAAAAACCAAAAATAAATACAATCCCCCATCCCAAAACCAAGAAGTGTGTACCAGGTCTTTTGGAGCTGGTAAGATGGCACATAAAGGTTCTAGCCACACCATCCTAGCAACCCTGAATTTGATTCCTGGAACCCATAGAAATATGAAAGGAGAGAAATAATTTCATAAAACTCTTCTGACCTCCATATACAGACAGTGGCATGCATATGTGTGCATGTGCATGAATACACACACTACATAAGTAAAAAAAAATTATGTATCTATGAAGCGGGCCTGGTGAGATGGCTCAGTATGTAAAGGCATTTGTCCCAGCTTGACAAACCGAGTTGGATTCTCAGGACCCACATAGTGTGTTGTGTTCTTGAACAGCTCAGGTGGTGAGGGTATGAATATAAGACAAATGCACAGACAGAAAAGATGGGATTGGGTGGATGGAAATCTCTGCTGGAGAAGCCACAGCACCCTAGAGCTCAATGTGTTTATTATATATAGCTGAACAGGGGATTATTGCATACACCTGAACAAGGAGGCAGGGGCTGAGGCATTGTGGTCCTCAATATGGCTGAGTCCTTGTCAAACAATACAGGTCACACTCCCTACCTACAATAGTGGAAGCAAAGAACTGACTTTTGCAAGTTGTCCTCTGATCTCCACTCATTCAACATGACACACACTCCCCTCCCAGCAAACAAACAAACAAACAAAAAAATGCATTTCTTTTAAAAACTGGAAGAAAAGCCTTTTGAAAGAAAGGGTATGCTTCTTAAACTCTAAAACAGTTTTTTTTAATTGAACCTTTTAAATGGCTGTATATTATTCCAATGTATAATCTCTCTAGTGGGGCATTACACGTTTCTCCATTGTTCATTATCATACACACAGTCAGGTGATTTATTCAAATATTAATGTAAAACACTGAGAATATTTTGAGACTAAATTGCCTGATTTATAGGCTGTCATTTCATCTTAAAATCATAGATGTCTTTCTTTCCTCTTGTTTTCAAGGACCTCAGTGGAGCTATAGATCTGCACCCTGGATGTCTTGGTCCCAGAGACAGGGCAACAGGCTCTTGCTATCAAAAGTATGTTCTTGGGAGGACCAGTGATGGGAATGTCCTACAGGAAGTCACAGGCAGGATGGAGGCGATAAAGGCTTTGAACTTGCACAGGGTCTGGGATGTTTGGAGACTGGGAAGAAGGTTTGGTTCCTCACAAGGCTAGGATAACAGAACCTTAGTGGGAGACTCTGAGGATACCTGAAGACCCTGCATGCCCGTGGATCAAGGAGGTGTGGAGACCAGCAGAGGGGATGGCTGTGATCATATGCACATAGAAACCAACTGGAAACCATCTTACTTAAGTGGGTATATGGGCTATTTCCCACAACCCTGAGGGATGGGGGAAGAAAACTCATGGGTAGAAACAACAAGAAAAGAGTGGGCAGCAAACCTTCACCTGCTTGTTTCCGTAGGATACATTCCAACAAACAAAATGAACTTAAGATTCAGAAAGACTTAAGGCGTTCTGTGTGTACATTCTGTGTATTTGTATTTTTCAAGTCTATGCTACATCTATTTATCTCTGACAAAATGTTATTAGGGAAAGGCAGGAGAGAAAAATTAGCCAAGCTAATTGATCATTAAGTATAATCGTCCATTAAGTACAAATTTCCATTTATAATCTATTTCATCCCAGAGGATTTCAATTATTAGATTGCTTTATTGATACGCTGAGGAGGTAATCATTAAGTGTGTAAACAAACAATATAAATTTCCACATGAGAAAGAGAAGAATGTTTATCAGTTATGCATATTGTCAGGAAATTATCTAGAAGGGTGAAGATAGGTACTAGAAGAGACAGCGGTGAGTCTCATCTCAAAACCTATCTCCCACCTCTTGGTGACTCCTCAATAGTTTCAAGACATAACCCAATTTTGTGGCCAATGGTTCAGTTGTATGAACTTGGGAAAGTGGCTTGACTTCTGGGAAGCTCCAATTCCTACTTCGTAAACAGTGGGTAATGTTGAGACTCATTTTGGTGAGTTTCTGGCAGAAATAAAAGAATTAAGCTTGAAACCTTCTAGAAACATTCCTGATGACCCATGAGCCTGGGAACATCTTTCAAGAGCATGAAGCACAATATCCAGCCTCTGGTCTTACTCTCCAATACCACTTCACCCTATCCCTTCATCAGAGGTAGGCCCGATCTGACATGATGGTCTTGTCACACTCTCAGCTCCCATGGTCTTATTTTTCCTGCCCTCCCCAGGCTTCTTTTCTATCTGGAATGAGGGTCCCACTCTTTTCTTGCCGAATGCTTCTCCTGGAGAAGTAATAAGGATTGTTAATCCCTGCTTCTATTTTATTCTTTGTCTTGGCAGACCAGCTTTGGTAAGAAGATAATGACTTTCTTTGCAGAACCTTCAGTCTGAGCTGGACACATCTCTCAAGGGCACTTGTGATAATTAGCCGAGTATCTCAATTGCTCCACCATAGGAAAGATCCTGAGGTCAGGGAGCATGCACATTTATTGTATCTGTCGATCCTTGTCCACTGTGGCCATCTTAGGTACTCAATAATGATTTACTTTCATTATGTTTTGTTTCTTGGTGCTGGGGATTAAACCCAGGGCCCTTACATGATAGATAAGATAAGCACTCACCACTGAGCTACCATCCCAGACTCAACCATCATCTCCTAAATGACTTCACTTGACATAGCTTATTGTGGAATCAGGGGACCAGACATCTCATCTTAGCTTTGTTTCAAGCCTTCTGCCTACATTTCATTAGACTTACATGGCACCAACAAGCCAGAACTAGTGACACTTTCACAGGTGCTTATGAATTGTAGTCTAAAAATGATTCCATGTGGTACCCAGGATAGGTCTTTCTGATAAGGTCAGCAAGATACTGAGCAAAAAATATGACATTCAAAGTGGGGCAGGTCCCTCTCAGCTTTGCAGATGAGCTGTGTGACTTGTTTGCTGTCTCTGAGTCTCATTCATTAATTTAAAAATGTATCTAAGGGCTGGAAAGATGGCTCAGTTAGTAAAATGCTTGTGGAGCAAGTGTGAGAATCTAGTTTAATTCTCAGGACCCATGTGAAAAATCTGGGCAGGGTGTAATGTGACTGTAATCTCACAACTGAAACAGAGATAGGGGCATTCTGACTAGCCAGAGTAGCCTACTTAGCAACTTCAAGACCAGCGAAAGACCCTGTCTTAGAAAACAAAAGGCAGACAGAGTCTAAGGTAGAGCATACTAATTTGTTCTCTGGCCTCCAAAAGTATTGTATTCAGGCATTCCTCCACCCCTCCCCTTATAGACACATACAGGGAAGCACATGAATATACATACATACATACATACACAACTGTAGCTAGCTGCAGCTACCTTGTAATGTGAGGATGTTTCACCAAAACCCAGATTTACAATATTCCAATACTTTGAACATTAGCTCCTAAGTACATGCTCAATAAAAATCTGATGACCATGTGAAACAAACTAAAGACTATTGATATATGTGTCCCAGAGTTGCTAGCTATCAAAACTCCACAGAAGAAGCAGATGCTTTTAGGTTTCCTTCAGTGAATCTCTAAGTATAATAAGAAAAAAATGGGATGGAGAGATAGCTCAGTAGGCTAAGGTGCTTGTCGTTAAACCTGATGGCTTGACTCCCATCCTAGGATCTACATAATGGAAGGAGTGAATCAATTCCAAGAAGTTCTGCAAGTTGTCCTCTGCCTCTGCATTCATATTGTGGTACACACAGGTACGCCAATAAATAAATAATGTAATTTTTAAATATTAGAAAAAATTACTTTAAAAAAAGGCTGGAGGGAGGCAGCAACTGAGCAGTGGTAGCATCCATCTTTAATCTCAGCATTCAGAAAGCAGTGGCAGGCAGATTTTCAAGTTTGAGCCCAGCCTGGTCTGCATAATGAATTCCAGGAAAGCCAGGGACACACAGAGAAATCCCATCTCAACAAACAAACAAAAAACAACAAAAATCCAAAACAAAATAAAAATCAAAACCCCCAAAGTGCCAGCAAGATGGTTCAGTGGGTAAAGGTACCTGATGCCAAGCCTGACAACTGGAGTTTTATCACTGGGGCCATATGATGGAAAGAGAGAACTGACCCCTATAAGTTGTGAATGCTGTCATTCATAGATACATATACACACATACGACACATGGATGCCAAAGCACATGCTACACAAAGCAAACAAATAAATAAATGAAATCAAAATAAAAAGAACTTTAAAAAAACTAAGTGTATGAAAGAAATTATTTGCTATTCAGAAAGAAGTTCCATGTCACATAAAACTGTAGGGAAAGAAAATGCCATTAGATTAGTTTTAAATATAGTATAGAAAGAGGCCTTACCTTGGTTATTCTCTTACTCTCTAGGTAACACATCCAGGCTGACCTGGATCTGGGGAGGTTTTGTGTAGTTCAGGTCACTGATGCACAACATGGCACCACATTTGTAGACCTTGTGTAAGTCCACCATGCTGCACTGTCTCTCTCCTACAACCTGGGACATGGAGGCTTGCCCAGGATAGATGAGCCATTGCCATTATGGATCCTGGTGTAGCCAAATAGCAATGAGAGGCAGAAATAAGCCAGGCGATCTCTACACACTTTCCAAGTACTTTGCAAACGTGTTTATAAAAATAAGTACAACCTGTAATTCTGCAGGATATTATGTCTAGGTAAGTTTTGTGACTGTATTTTAAAATACCCACAGCACATTCAAATGATTCTGTCACATCTACCTAATAAGATGTTATATCAATTTTTAGAAAGATGGTCCAAATGCATTTTGGTAAAGTGAACCAATATTGAGCTTATGATATTTTGCTTGTACCTCATTTATTGAGTCTTTCTTCTTGACATATCTACATATCTGGAATCAACTGTGTATAAGAGGTACAACACTATTCCTAGAACTGTGGAGACAAATAAGTCTTGGAAGTTTTCCAGTGAAGACTGGGGTGGGGCATGTTGTGTGTGGCGTGTGTGTGTGTGTGTGTGTGTGTGTGTGTGTGTGTGTGTACATAAAATTTTTTGAGACAGGTTTCATGTTTGCTAGTCTTGAACTTACTATGTAGTCAAAGATGACCTTAAGCTTCTACCTGCTCAGTGCCAGCATGTATCACCATGCTCATGTGGAGATGGGGATGGAACCCAGGGCTTTGTGCACATTGAAAAATCATTCCACCTACTCTTCTATACATTCCATCCGGTGTGTGTGTGTGTGTGTGTATATTGTGGGAACATATGTCACAGCACATGTGTAGAGATCAGAGGACAATTTGTAGAAATTTATTTTCTCCTTCTACCATGTGGGTCCCAGGGATTGAACTTAAGTTATCAGGCTTGGTAGCAATCATGCTTACATGCTGAGCCATCTCACTGACCCTTTTCTCTTTTTTTATACTGTATGGTACTTTGAGTGGTCAAGAATGGATAGTTTTGAATTACTGAATCAAATGAACATATACCTAATGGAACCATTGGGTAGTCTTCAGGCTTCAGGCAATTAAATCTCTAAGTCTCTAAGACACAGGGTATTTCTCTACTCAAATCTCTTCAGATTCAGAAAAATGAGGAGCCTTGCTTGAGTCTTTGCGAAGGCTTTATATGGCCTAATGAAAGGACTATTCTAAGCAATATATAGAACTTGGCAGACTGATTTTGTGGCAGATAACCAGTGAATATCTGGACACTGATTTGTAATCACTTTTTTTCCTGCGTCTACTACAGGGTCTGAGAACATAAATCTTCATGTTCCCTGCTTCCTGTGTACCTGAAAGTGAGGACAAGAAAACTAAGGGCACCCATTGTTCAGCAGCTACTGAAGGTGATGGAGGCAGGGCTATGGGTTCTCATAGTAGTAGACTATTACTTTCTCTTTCTTCTATCAAGTGCTCATGTTGTGCCTGGAGTGGTGGCACCAGTGTCCAATCGCAAGGAGAAGACCATAGTGCCCAAGGCCACTGGCTCCCATTATTTATTGCTGTTTTTGCATGTGCATGTGGTGTATAAGCGTGTGTGTATGTGTGTTTATGTTTGTGGATACACATTGTGCGAAGGTATGTGTGGAAACCAAAGGTTGCTCCAGGGATCCCCTGTCTCCACCTCTCTAGCACAGGGACACAGGCAGGCCACTGTGCTTGTATGACATTGGGATGCTGAAGTGTGGCAGGCACTTTTCCTATCGAACCATTTCCCCAACTTCCATGACCTTAAATGTTGAGTTCCTTAACCACTACTGGTAGCTACTAGCTTCTAAACTCCTGAGAGAAATCTATCCCTACTCTGTTAGACCACTTTTGGTGGATTTTATTTTGTTTGAAGTTGACCTCAAAGAATCTTGAGTTCACCCCAAAGATTTCATGTAACAGAAAATACATCAATCTAATTAACTGCAGCAAATGAGTCACTGTCCTATTTTGTAAGTTTCTTCCAACAGCATGAAGTCAACCTCTTGATGACAATGGTTCCTTTGTTGCCTTTCTCTACTAATTCTTTGTCAACCTCCTCTCTATCCCATTCCTAAGTCTCTAAGTCTGCTTTTATCATCTTCTCATTGTCGTTATTATTATTATTAATCTCACAGAGTCCAAGTTGGCTACAAACTGGCTATTTAGCTGAGAATGATTTTGAACTGCCAATCCTGCCTCATTCTCCAGGAATTTGTTTGCGCCACCATGCCTAGTTTCATGCGTTGCTAGAGATGATATCCAGGGCCTCATGCATGCTACACGAGCCCTACCAACTGAGGCCCAGTCCTTCTCAAGTCTGATTTATTCTTAAGGACACACACCTGTCTGTCACTTTTTCTGTAAGCTGTGCCCTGAACCACAGTTCTCCAATAGGACATTTCTCTGATTGGTCACTGTTTAGACTTTCTCATGAAGTTGCTTTGTCTGTCTCTTTCAATGTATCAACACTTATCTCAGTTTGTGTGTGTGTGTGTGTGTGTGTGTGTGTGTGTGTGTGTGTAGGCAGTGATAACATTATTTCTCTTGGTTTGATATTAGTTTGAGAATTAGGGGGGTCATTGGATTCTCCTGTTTTAACGTCTTCACAAAACAAATGATTGAGTTACAGTTTAAGTAATCTGCTTCTACATGCCAGTAACCCTGCAGAAAGAGAGATAAATACCGAGTGGGACAGAGACACTGCATTAGTAGCCATGGCCACTTAGTAAAAGCTCTTCAGCTTGATTATGGCTATTCCAGGTGAGCATGGACCATCTATGGATAAGGAGCTGCTTCTATCCAGTTCTGCAAAAAAAATTTAAAGTAAGACTCAGGACTAAACACAAGTCAATTATAAATGCTTATTGCTCTTTCAGGGAGTTCAGTTCCCAGCACTCATGTTTTCTGGAGATCTGATAACCTCCTCAGGTATACACACACACACACACACACACACACACACACACACCAATCAAACTCAATTTCTCTTAGCAAACAAAATTATCCTTGGAAATAACTTCTCAAGCCAGACATAGTAAGGTCGTGTCTGTCATCCCAGCTCTCAGGAGGGTGAAGCAGAAGGGCTGTTGTTAAGTTTGAGGTCAACATGGGTTATATAATGAGTTCTAGCCCAGTCTGGGCTACAGTATAAAAGACTTTGCCTTCCACTCCTACCCAATCACCACCAAAGAAAGAAACTAAATTGCTGCTAAATAAAATAAGATGGTTGAGTTTTGTTTTCTCTAAGGTCAGTCTAATATCTTTCTTGAAAAAAAATGGCTACTTTGGGAGCTGCTACAGAGAGCATATGTATACAGGAGACTAGGGGAAAGATCATGGAATGCAGAAGTCATGGAAACAGCATGGAAGCCATCCTGAATGGCTTGCACCTGGCCAAAGCCAGGCCAATTTGAGCATTGTGATATATTATTTCATTAATAATTTAATTCAACCACTAAAGCAGGGAGTCCTGAATCATTACCCAGGATAAACAAACTGAGAAATTTGAGTCATCAAGGTATTACTCCTCCATATACTTAAGCCACAGAGAAGTGTTCTGCCTACATTTATGTCAAATGACAGAAACTGTAGTCATCTGAGAGGAGTAAACCTCAACTAAGAAAAATGCCTCCATAAGACTGGGCTGTGGGCCAGCCTGTAAAGCATTTCCTTAATTAGCAATTGGTGGGGGAGGGCTTATCCCATTGTAGATGATACCATCCCTGGCTGTGGTCCTGTGTTCTATAAGAAAACAGGCTGAGCAAGACATGTAGGGCAAACCAGTAAGCAGTACTCTTCCATGCTTCTGCATCAGCTTCTGCCTCCAGGTTCCTGCCCTGTTTGAGTTCCTGTGCTAACTTCTTTTGATGATAAGCAGTGATATGGAAGTATAAGACAAATAAACCCTTTCCCCTCCAACTTACTTTTGGTCATGCTGTTTCAGTGCAGCAACAGAAACCCTAGGTAAGATAGGAGGGGAGAGGAATAACTGTGCAGTGAGCAGCCTGGCAGACCCTGACTTTGGAAATGGACCTGAATTTCATGGGAGCGTGGGGATGAAGATACCTGAATTTCATGGGGGGGGGGAGTATAAGCATAACAGCAGTCCTGTGGTTATTCCTACCTGTGATGCCTAGCAAACAAGGAAGACCTATATGGGGAACTCACTTACACTCTGCAAGTATGTCAAGCTCATGGAGTAATGACGGGGAAGGTCCTTCTGTGTATATGTTGTCTTATTGGTTGATAAATAAAGCACTGTTGGCCAATAGGGAAGCAAGATATGTGGAACTAGGGATCAGGGAGGATTCTGGGAAATATAGTGAAGAGGAGAGAGTCACCATGTGATTCTGGAAGGAGAGGATACGTCAGGATGGTATGCTCAGAAAGATAAGTCCTTATAAAATATATATTAGTAATAATGGGTTAATAATTAAGTCAGAGCTAGCCAATAAGAAAATGGCCAACAGTATCATAATTAATAAAGTGTCTCTGTGTTATTTGGGGGCTGAGACAGCAGCGGGACCCAGGAAGCTGGCAGGAAAGAATGCTCATTACAGAGTAAGGCTGAGCTAGTTTCCTACAGAAAAAAGGTGAAGAGTATGATGATATCTTGACACTGATGGGGTTAGCCTGCCCTCCTCCATCCCAGTGCTAGTTTTCCTTGACACTATAGGGATGTGGGATTCTGTGTACTGGATTTTCTTGTCATAAGTCCATTTCTGAGACAACTGGTACAATTTTAATCTCCCTCCCCTGAAATGATTTGAGGATAGCAATATACCCAGTGTTAGCTTTTGGACTTTGATGGTTGTGTTGTGGTTTTATAGAAGAAAGTCCCTTGACGATAGGAAAATGCACACTACAATATTCTAGGTGATGGGTCAACAGGCCACAAACATACTATACTAAAGGAACTATACACCAATTCCAACATCTCTGCAAATTTGTGATAATTTTGAAAGTTGAGTATGGAGCTGAGTGTAACGGTTCACTTTTGTAATCCTAGCACTTGGGAAGCTGATATAGGAAAACTGTCCAAGTTCGAAACCAGCCTGGCCTAGCTATGTAGTAAAACTCTGTCTTCTCAAAGCAGACAAAATCTCCCAAACAAACCTTAATCCCCAAAGATTTTAGAGATAGTATCCAAGCAAACAATCATTTAAAAAATGTTACCTAACCTAGAATTTAAAAGGGAATTAGTTTATTTTATTTCATGTATATGTGTTTTTCTTGCATATGTATATACCAGTTGCTTGAAGAGGCTCTGGCATAGGATCCCTTGGAACTAGAGTTACAAGCAATTTTGAGCCACCACATGGGTGCTTGGAAATAAACCTGGGTCCTCTGTAAGAACACTGAGTGCTCTTCTTAACCAATGAGCCATCCCCCTTCTCTCCCCTCAGTAATTCTTAAAAGCAAAACCAACAATCTTCCATTATCAAAAATAGACAACAGCTTTGCTTCGGTGGAATTTGCCTGAGTATTATTATCACCACCATGGGGCACGAAATGTGGGTGCCACCCACGTTCAGGGTGGGTCGTCTTCCCTCAGCTATCCTTTCTGGAATACCTACAGACACACCCAAAGGTGCACCTTAGGAATGCCCAGGGTATTTCTTATCCAATCAAATCGACAGTCAAATTAGTGATGCATTGCATTTTATACAGAAATCTTGCCTTGGGCATGTAGCTTAGTTGGGAGAGTACTTGTCACATGGCTATGGATTCAAGTGCCAGTTCTGCCTAAACCAGGAGTGGTGACTGTACCTATAATCACAGCACTTGGGCAGTGAAGAAAGAAAGCTCAGGAGTTGAAAGTCACTAGTTAGTGAGTTTGAAACCAGATGGAGCCACATGAGACCCTCAAACAAAATTTAAGCAAAAGAAATCTTGCCCAGCTTTTGTTGCACCAGCTGACATCTCTGCTGACCCCTCTGTCTGGATCATTTCTCTCTCATGATAGTGTTAGTCTTTCTCTTTCCGCCCCCATGGTGGTTTCCTTGATACCGAAAGGGAAACTCCCTCAGACCCTTGATTCAGAATCCAGTTCTGTTTAGTACTGGGTCCATATAAACTTCGGGCTCATGTGAGTGCATGTGAACTTGTATGAGCAGGAGGGAACATTTTAGAGCAGCTTCCTGGGAGGCAGCCAGGTTATAGAAGACCCTTGGGCTTTGGTAGCATGCTGAACACTTGTGTGTGCTCTTGGGCAAGCCGCTTGACTGCTGTGTATCTCTTACTTGTGGAACGTGGAAAGTGTGTCACACAAGCAACGAGATGTGTTGTGTAGAATGTCAGAAGCTTCTTATACACGAGGAGCCTAAGTCTGCACCAAACACCTTGAGGTGACGGGTGTGTCACTGCCCCCAGAACAGGATGCACTGAGTATCTCTAGTCACAGCCACATTGACAAATTTCTTCATGCTCAGTGAGAAGTTTGATATTGCGTCATTTAGGATGGTGCATGCAATTCAACAGTAACAACCAACTCCGCATCTCAGCAGCTTTTAGAGCAACCAAGAGTCCATTATTATTATTTTCTTCAAGCAAAGACCTCCGCAGGCCTCTGTGACCTTTCAGGAAGGTTTCCCTTTGGGATAGTTCAGCCTTCTTCCTTAGACAGGATTTTATGTTGCTGAGGCAGGAAGAAAGGGGTGCAGCTGAGCTAGAGTGATTAGATGTTCAAGTCAGATAGGAAGCTCAATTTTCCTCACATTTCATTGGCAAAGACCAGTCCTGTGGCCTTATTTCAATGCATGAAGCTAAAGTAATGTAATCCCTTGAATTTCTAAAAAGTAAATAGTGAATGAGAACACTGATGTCTCTCTGTCTACTGGGAGGGGGAGTTCTAATCAAGTGTTATTAGAATGGTCAAGTTGGTAAGCTACACAAAAACTTTAGTGTCATTCCAGTGATGTCTATGAATGTTTCCTCTTTGAAACAAGAGTGTAGTTATATATATCACATTTAACCTGCTTTCTCTTCCCCATTTTTCATCATTCTTGCAGTTTTATGAGTCAGAGAAGTGGCATTGAATCACACAAAGCATATACTAAGTGCTTACCACACACTGATGGATGAAGACCACTGTACAGAAACTACATTTGAAAAGGCAACGGATTGATAGATCCAAAGTCACAAGGCTGTGATGGAGCCAGAAAAGGCATTTTCCTGCGTCCTGCCATTAGCCACAAGAGTGCTTTTATTACTTCCTTGAGAAAAGTTGGCCCCAGCAGAGTTTTTTATGTCTGTTGGCAGTTTCCAAAGGTGATTGCCGTCTTCAGCCTTGGACTCTATTCATGCCCAGAATGTTCTGCACAGTCATAGGGCAAAACAATGTCCGGCACAATTAGAGGTAGTAACTTAACTAATTATTCCACAGTGAGCCTCCCAACAGAGAAAATACAAAGTCACCACTCAGATGCTACTGCTTCTTAGTTTTGTTTCCTGTTGCTGTGATAAAAGACCCCAACAAAAGGAACTTTCGAGAGAACGGACTCATTTGGCTCACAGTTCCAGGATATGGTCTATTATTGTGGGGAAGTTAAGGCAGCAGGAACAGGAAGCAGATAATAACATAATATCCACAGTCAAGAGCCGAGAGCAGTGAATTAAGGCAAGTGTGTTAGTGCTCAAGCTTGCTTTCTTCATTCTTACACAGTCCAAGATGCCCTGCCTAGGGAATGGTGCCTCCCACAGCAGGTGGCTCTTCCAACTCCCATTAATGTAATCAAGGCAATTGTCCTCATTCATGCCTACAGGCCAACCTGATCCAGACAATTCTTTCACTGAGATTTTTTTTCTCAAGTGATTTTAGATTGTGGCAAGCTGACCACTAAAACTGACCATCATGCCAGGTGGTGCGGGCACATGTTTTTAATCCCAGCACTCAGGAGGCAGAGGTAGGCAGATCTCTGTGAGTTGGAGGCCAGCAAGGTCTACAGAGTTGAGTTCTAGAACAGCCGGGCTGTTACACAGAGAAACCCTGTCTCAAAAAAACAAAAACCAAAGCAAAACAAAAAACTGACCCTCACATACTCAGTAAAGTTACTAAGCTCCAGTCAGAATTAATGGTCATTCACATTAACAGCTTGCCTGGTGGCTGTTTAGGAGGAGAAAGGGGACTGGAAAGAGGGGGATATTGATACCAGAAAGTGGAGAAAGTAGTGGGGGGAGGGGGATGAGATAAAAGTAGAATGATAGATTCATATCAAAACGTCACAATGAAACCCATCCTTGGGCCTGGGAGATGAGTCTGGGAGGAAAGTGCTTGCTGTGCAATCTTGAGGACCTAAGTTTGGGTCCCCAGAGCCCAAATAAAATCCAGGAATAGCAGCATCACCACTCCAGTGCCAGGGAGGTAGACAGGGCTCTCCGGATCTCACCAACTAGGCCATGTTTCAGAAATAGAGAACTATGGGTTCAGTGAGTGACACTGTCTCAGAATGAAAAGTAAGGTGGTGAGAGAGGAAGACACTCAGTATTGACCCCCAGCCTCCACACAGGCACAAGTGCACCCCACATACATGTGCATACACACTTGGCATACATCACACCAAACACATGCATGTACAAGTCCACTTCTCTGTATGATAATGCAAATCTTAATGATAGAAAAGTGTAACACGAAAAATAAAAGACCTAGAGACTGATATTGGGGTTCAAAATTCAAGCTGAATATCAGAAAAAGCAAAGTAGATGGTCGCTAGCTTCTTACCTCAGGCTGAATGGGCTGATCCTGCTTCCGAAAACTCTCACCAAGCCTCAGACTGTAACCTCTCTTCAGGGTGGCTGGAGAATGAACGCCTCATACTGACCACTGAAGATCCTGCCTCTATCTCTTATACCCCTCTAGTGCTGGGATTAAAGGCATGTGATCTGTTATTCTTTTAGATTGATTCAATCTCGTGTATCCTTGAGTGGTCTTGAACTCAGAGAAATCTGTCTATCTCTTAACCCTGAGCCCTAGGATTAAAAGTGTGTACCACCACCTCCTAGCTTCTGACTGCTGGGATTAAAGGTGTGTATCACCACTGCCTGTTGTCTATACCTTGAGGCTGACTTTGCTTTTCTGAATCCTCAGTCAAACTTTAATAAATCATAAACAATATATCGCTACAGAAAAGAGGGGAGATCTGATCTTATACAGGGTTTTTAACCCCCTGCTCCTGAGAGGCTTCTTAGACTAACAAAGAGCAAAATAAGTTGTCTATTGAGTCAAACAGAAGCCCCACACTCACTCTAGAAACCAAATGATAGGCTGCTCCTTTCTTCCTTGCTCTGTTTTAAAATGATAAATTGACATCCGTATGCAAAGAGGGAAATGGGGACAAGACTGAGTTTGTAGTCTCAGCTGTTGCCTGTATCATGCCCAAAGAGAGACTTCGATTTCATTTTAGCATCCAGGAGATACCAGGTCCAATTTAATTTGCTCCCCCAAATGACCAAGCTGATTAATTGTCAAGTCTGGTCTTACTTCATAGTAAACCTTAATCTCTCGTAATTTGCCGTGAAATGAACGCGAGTTGGCTATTTCAGGCATGAGTAAGATAGGTCTAACAAACCTCCCCAGGCCACCTTCAGGCCAGGTGGGGATGGCCTGGCTGCACCCACAGAGGAACAGGTGGAATGAAGATTAGGTCACATGGTGGGAAGCGGGTGGCTAGAGGCCGGCAGCTGTTGAAATCCCAGGTGTGTGTGTGAGTTGGCACGGGTACAAAGCCGAGAGAGCTGCTAACAGCTCAAAGTCCTGGGCTGTGCAGCTGCTTGCTTGGCGCTCACTGTGGACCCACCTGTAGTGTTGACGGGCACACCCCGCTTAGGAGCACGAGAACATGAAAGGTTGGGGGAGGGGGAGCAGCCGACAGCCCTTCTAGCCAGAAGGCTGCAGGGAGCAAGCTTGCCCCCCAGGGATAAAAATGAGTGGGCTTGAGACCAGTCCCCCTTGGCTTTTCTTATTTACCACGCAGTCCTTGGAGGTTTAAAAAAAAAAACACTACAGGTTTTCTTTCTATCCAGAAGCCTATTCCCAAGAACCCTTAGGAAGTAAATGAAAAAAAAACCCTGAGTTGGAGGGTAAAATCAACAGGCAGAGATATTGGGGGTGGGGAGATGACAAGGAATGAAGACTGAGAGACAAAAATAAGAGCTGCCCCTGCTGGGCTGGGGAGTGCATAAAAAAAGGCACTACCAGCCAGCAGGTCTTAATCTGTTTCTGCCCTACACAAAGCCCTGCTGTGGCTTTTACAGGATGGCCTTGGCTCTGAAGCTAGGCTTTCAGAGTCAGTGGCTGGGAATTATGCAAATTCAAATGGCAGCAGTGTGCATAGGTGAAGTGGCAATCCCTCGCTAGTGTGCAGGCTCCAAAGGGTTGTGAGCTCTCAGTCTCTGTTAAAGTCAACGCCCAGAAGACCCATGAACCCGGCCAGCGCTGTTGCCTTCTTGGTTCTCCCATCTCTGCTTGTAAATACAGACAGCTGCCCCGCTACCATGTGATTTCCCTCTCCTGCATCCTTTGTAGAATGAGAACCCACTATGGGGGGTACAAGGATGCTACAGATCTGCAATGTCCGCCTAAAGCCATGTGGTCCCAGCTTGGTTTTGGAAAGGGGTGAAATTATTAATCAATAGACTTCATGTATAGATCCTCAGGTCACTGGGGGAGGCCAGGTGACTCCAGAAGAGGATTAGATTGTAGGACCTTGGTCTCTTTCTCTTATGCCTTTTGGCTTCCTGAATTGTGGTGGGAGTGACTCTGTTGTCACATGATGGGAGTAAATCAAATCAAGGGCTGGAACTTCAAAAATTGAGAACCAAAATAAGTTTAAATTTATCTAAACTTAATCAAAGCATCTTTCTCTTTATGGGTTGACTGTCTCAGGCATTTTGTCATAACTACAAAACACTGATGAAAACAAGACAATGGCAGTATGACACTTATCACATACTTGCCTGTGTGGGCTCTGCTGCCTTCTGGCTGTATGACTTTGACTAACAAGGGATCCAGCTATTTTGTGGGCTGCAATGAAGATGTATCTACAGTATATCATGTTCCAAAGATAAAAGCTCCATTCTGAACATCCCTGAAAAGGGTACAGAGGGAACTGGGGTCCTCATTACCTTGGCCTTCACTGTGGGACCAGCCTTAACTGCCAAAATCAGGATCTCTCATAACGGAGGATAACCTTGTGCCTCCCAGACTTCAGTGGGCATCCACACTCATCCAAAGGATGCTCAGTTCAGAAAGTCTGGGTGGAGCCTAAAAACTAATTTTCTGGGCCCAGATTCAAACCCCAATGGGGCTGATCCATCTATTGGAGACAACAGTGTCAGACCCCTCAGAAAGCTGAACTGCCACCCATTTTCACACACTTCCAACTATACTCAGAGAAACCTCATCTCAAAAAAGGAAACAAAACAAACAAACACAAAACCCAACCCAACCCAAACAAACGCACATATGTCCAACCTTCCTCTAGCCCCTCCCTACCCCCTCCTTCATTTCTCTAGTGCCTACTATTCTACTCTGGCTAATGAAATCAACTTTCTTCAGCTTCTACATGTGGGTGAGAAAATACATCCTTTGCTTTTCTCTGCCTGGCTTATTCCATTGAACGAAATACCCTGTAGTTCCATCTGTGTTGTTGCAGGTGATACCATCTCATGATTTGGCTAGGTGATGTTTTGTTTTGTTTATATACCTATTCTTACATAAACAGAACTCTTAGTCAAAGAATCTCAACTTTTTATTTTTCTCTTCAGACACAGTGGGATCACACCCAGGGCCTCACACCTGCCAGACAAGCTCTCTTCTACTGAACTATACAATCCACCCCTACCCCAGCCCCCCCCAAATCTCTATTTTGACTTAGAGGTATTGTCAGAGCTGAATGGAGGAGACACTGAGAATAGGAGAGTGAACTAGAATTTGTAGAATATTAAATATGCAATTCCATTTTCAAGTTGGTGTTTCCTGGGACTCCCTCCTTATCCCTAACCTTAGAACCTGGGGAAAATGCTTTAACTTTTCTAAACCTCAATTTGTCTCCAAATTTGGAGTGATAATATTTATCAGGCAGGTTTTCTGTGGCCTACTGATGTTAGGGAGTCAGAGACAGCCTGAGTGCCAATCACTGGAGAGTAGAATGAGTATGTGTCTCAACATTGTGTAGCAGAGAGAAACAATAAAGTAGATGCACAAATACTAACTCAAAGAAGCCCTGAAAATGCAGGTGCTTAGGGGGGAAAACCGATAGGTAATGAATTACTTTTGTAAATTGGACAATTCAAAAGTGATGCATATTAAGTGATGTATATTATGTTTACATATATTAGGATTTGAATGGGAAGGAGAACAAGATATACACACAAAAACTTCAGAAATTAATACTCGAGCATCTGTCAGGTTGGTGAAGGTCCATGTCAAGCAACGCTAAGAAGCTAAGGAATTGACACCCTGTGGACAGGACAGTACCAGGCAGGAGCCTGGTAGCTTCTCTCTAGTGCCCATGTCCTCGTCTACATAACTGAGGCCATGCTTTACATAACCACTAAGAATAGTTAATGCCCCGGCCACCTTCAAAAGTGATGTTTGATGAGTTCTTACTAATATTATATAACTGCAAAAGTCACTAGAAACTTCTGGGGAGTTTCCCTAAGTAAAGGAGTCTTGATAAAGGATGTGGAACAAAAGTGAATGTCAGAGAGAGATGAAAATGATCTAGAAGGCAGAGAAAAATGGCCTTGGGATATGCAGACTCATGATGGTTCATCTTGACTAGGTTTGCAACCACCCAGGAGACTCACCTCGGGCATTTCCAGAGGGGATTAATGGGAAAGAGGAGACCCATCCTGAATGTGATTGGCACCCACTAATGGTTGGAGGTCTGATAGAATAAAAGAGAATAAATGAGATGAATATTAGCTTTTATCTCTCTCTGCTTCCTGACTAGGGATGCAATATAACCAGTCACCTTCTGTGTCTGCCACCATTACTTTCCCACTATGACAGACTGTACCCACTCAAGATGTGAGCCACAACAAATTCTGCCCTTCTTAAGTTGCTTTTGCACAGTCTTTTGTCGCAGCAATGCTAATACAAACACGTAACTTAGCATTAGGGTCATAGAAGAAGAAGAAGGAAGAGGAGGTGGGG